GAGAGAGAGAGAGAGAGAGAGAGAGAGAGAGAGAGAGACTATAAGTCACCAACCTGCGCCACGCCGCACACTACTTGGATCGATAGAATGAGCAATCAAAAAGTGGCAGTGTATATTTCTACGTTTCAGCGCAAGATTCATTCCATTTTTGCTCATCCTATCGATGGAATGTGTGGGTGTGTGTGAGCGAGCGTGTGTGTGTGTGTGAGCGTGTGTGTGTGTGTGTGTGTGTGTGTGTGTGTGTGTGGGAGTGAGAGAGAGGGAGACGATAAGTCTCCGACCTTGGCCGACAGCCAAGTCTCCGACCACGCCTCGCCGCACGTGGCTTGGATAGATAGGATGAGCAAATCAAAAAGTACCAGTGTATATTTCCATGTTTCAGCGGAAGATTCATTCCGTTTTTGCTCATCCTATCGATGAAGTGTGTGTGTGTGTGTGTGTGTGTGTGTGTGTGTGTGTGTGTGTGTGTGTGTGTGTGTGTGTGTGTGTGAGAGAGAGAGAGAGAGTTCTTCTTCTTCTTTTTCTAAGTCCCCATCTCTTCTTCACCCTCTCTATCTGACTTCTCAGTGTTTGCGGACTACGTGTGTGAGAGAGAGAGGGAGAGAGAAAGAGGGAGAGAGAAGGAGAGGAGAAAGGTCGGAGAGGGAAAGAGAAGGAGGAGGTGAGAAAGATCGAAGAAGGAGGAGGAGGAGAAAGGAGAAGAAGGTGAAGAAGAAGGAGATAAGGAGGAAGAAGGAGTATTGCGATCGGCTCGTTGAGCAGCTTACCGTGCAGCGGGTAAAGTCGCCGAGGCCGCAGCTGGCTTCGCGCAACCACCATCGAAAAGGACGAGCGATATCAATCGAAACTTTTCGCTGCCACGTCGAAATATTCGCCATTACATGTGTGTGTGTGTGTGAGTATGTGGAGAGAGAGAAAGTGTGTGTGTGTGTGTGTGTGTGTGTGTGTGAGAGAGAGAGAGAGAGAGAGAGAGAGAGAGAGAGAGAGAGAGAGAGAGAGAGAGAATCTAGTGCCTTCGCAGCGTACATGATCATGCACAGACTACTTCCCCACGCCAAACATGCGCACTGCCTACGTGGCATGTGCACCATATGTGTGTATGTATGTGTGTGGGTGGGTGTGTGCGTGTGTGTGTGAGAGAGCGAGTTACGTACCTGGGCCAGCGCGCGCTACACTGATGAATCCAACGGGTCGATTGCCTGGGTCGAAAGGATCGAGCAATCTTCCTAAGGTTCATCGTGTCGGGGATAGATTGTTGTGATTATCGATCTTGAACGAGGAGTGCCCAATAAGCGCGAGTCATCAGCTCGCGCTGATTACGTCCCTGCCCTTGGTACGCACCGACCGTCGCTCCTACCGATTGGATGGTCCAGTGAAGTGTCTAGGTTGCGGTGATCTTGGCGGTCTGCCGATGGGGGTGCACGTGGCATACTGTGCGTGGGGGATCGAGGTTGTGAGTGATGCGACGGACATACCTGGTGCTTGGTGCGACGAAGTGGTCCGAGATCTGCCCATACTTCGGGAAAGTTGTTGTCGTCATCCTCAACATTGAAGTAGTAGGCTAGATAGGATTTGCCATTGCAGTCTGGGCGCCAAGCACCAGATGGATGACGACATTGGTTATGAGTGATGATGATGATGATGGTATGAGGGCACTTACCTTGTACCGGCGATGGTCTGTATGGGCGACATCTTCAAGTACGTCGGGTTGCCGCTGATGTCAACAGTTGCATTGTCTGTAGTAGTTGTGTAGGGGTAGGTTGTGCGCTGAGCGCCGTGTAGGAGAGTGAAGGGACTAGAATCTTGCGTTGGTGTGGAGAGAGTATTCTCTCCTGGACATTGGTTTTCAATGCTACGAACGTCCATTGGTGTATTATTGGGGCAATGTTGTTCTTTGGACACGGTGTGACTATTTGGCTCTCGGTGTGATGGTGTGATTTGAGATTGTCATCTCGTTATTGCTTATTTTCTTATTATTATTTTATATATATATATATATATATATTATTATTATTATTATTATTATTATTATTATTATTATTATTATTATTATTATTATTTGCGTGGTCCATGGGTGCTGATGACATCTGTGAGCTGGAGGAGAGGGATCAGCATTGATGTTGACATGATCACTCGTTGGTAGTCAAGTTATCTGGTTGCCTTTCATTGCTGTAGTTGTAGGCTAGGCTGTAGAGTAGATAGGGCGCCTGGCGCCATTCACAAGAGAGAGCTACATTTGGGTTATGCTGTTGGTGTTGCCCTGTTGGGCATGAACATTGACTCACAATTCTTCTGTATCATTCTCAATTGGATGGTTACTCGGTTCCATTGTGCTATCTGCTTTGACTTTGACTACTTGGACTTCAGTGTGATTTTTCATTTTGGATTTCTGTGCTTCGTCCATATTCATGTTCCTTGCAATACTATTATTATTATTATTATTATTATTATTATTATTATTATTATTATTATTATTATTATTATTATTATTAGTAGGAGTAGTATTTATTACTATTATTATTATTATTATTATCATTATTATATGCATAGTCCTTGGGTACACATGGCAGCTGTGTGTTGGGGGACGAGGTTGTGAGGGGAATGGGAGACATACCTGGTATTGGAAGTGGGCGACATTGGCTGCTGTATGCTCGTACTTCGGAAAGCTGTTAACGTCATCAGCGGTATTGTAAATAGGCTAGATAGGATGTGCCTTTTGTAGTCTGGGCGTCGAGCGCCAGATAGGATATCAACATTGGTTCTTCGTTGATGATGATGACGAGACTATTCCAGCATTGTCAATTATGAGCTTATGGTATGCTCTTATTTGGTGGAACTGAGATGCAATTCTGACTTTGGTTCGAGGTCATGACTACCTGGTCTCACGTGTATGATGCTGTTTGATTTCTGAAGTTCACTGTGGTTCATCTTCCTTGCATTTTTTTTATTAATACTATTATTACTATTATTA